TAACATGCACAGACTCTTCTACAGCAAGTAAACGTTTATTATATATATTCTATATGCCTTACTCGAGTGAGAGTATCCGAGAAAGATACCTTCATCGGCTTTGGAATCAAATTTGCCCAAGTTTTCCTTTCCATTGTTTAATACAAAACATTTACATCCAAACACGTGCAAGTGAGAGACATTTGGCTTTCGCCCTTTTAAGAGTTCGTACGGTGTTTTGTTTAAAATGGGGCGAATAAGTACCCTATTCAAAACATAGCATTTCGTACTAATGGCGTCGACCCAAAAATATTTAGGTAAACCACTTTCATTAATCATTGTTCTTCCCAATTCTTCTAAAATACGGTTTTTGCGCTCCACAACCCCGTTTTGTTGAGGAGTGCGTGGAGCGGAGAAGTTATGATCAATACCATGGTTACCGCAATATTCTTCAAACAAATGATTTTCAATTTCACCTCCATGGTCGCTCCTTATGGACACTATGTTTGTATTTAACTTGTTTTGGGAAAGCTTACCAAACTTTTCAAAAGCGGCGAATGTATCACTTTTACTTACTAAGAAGATGGTCCAACAAAACCTAGAAAAGTCGTCCACTATTACGAACCCGTAATAGTTTCCTCCTAGACTTTTGATCCTAGACGGCTCAAACAAGTCCATGTGTAAAAGTTCAAGAGTTCTCGTTGTTGAAATTATCTTTTTGGATTTAAATGAGATCCTCGTTTGCTTCCCTTTTTGACAAGCATCACAAAGGTGATCCTTGGTGAACTTTATTTTGGGAAGTCCTAAGACTAGGTCTTTTGAGACTACCTTATTGGGTAAGTCAAAATTAACATGCGCTAAACGCCTATGCCATAGCCATGAGTCTTCACTCATAGTTATGAGGCATTTGTCGCTTGTTAATGATACTTCATTTAAGTCAAGCATATATACATTGTTTACTCTAAAACCATTAAACATATTCTTCTTATCATTTTCATGCACAATTTTGCAACAATCTTTTGAAAAGGATACATTGTATCCTTTGTCGCACAGTTGGCTAATGCTAAGCAGATTATGTTTAAGGTTTTCGACAAGCAATACATCGGAAATCATAGTAGAGGAGGGATTACCTACACTACCTTTACCTAGTATTGCTCCGCGGTTGTTATCACCATAAGTTACATACCCTTTCTTCTTAGCCACAAAGTCTATGAATAAGGATATGTCTCCAGACATGTGTCTTGAGCACCCACTATCGAGAACCCATCTTCTCTCGGTGGTCTCAACACATTTCACCTGTCAAAACATAATTAGCACAAGGAGGTACCCAATGGCATATTGGGTCCTAATAGGTTAGCGACAAAATGGTTGCGTTTGGGCAACCATTGGTAGATGCCTTTAGGAACAAGAAATCTTCTAAAACGGCATTTACCAATGGAGTGGCCTTTCCTGCAATAGTATAAGCAAGCAAAATCAACTTTAGAGACACTTTCACTTGCTTGATCCCTAATTACATATGCATATTTTTGGTATGGGTTAATCATACTTTTTCTAAAATCCTTTTTATCAATAGCAAATGTAACTTTAGGCTCAAGTGCCTTATTTAATTTGGCCTTGAGGTGTCTAACCTCACCTTGCCAAATATGACAAGTGCCACACCCGAAGTTGAAAGGGTTTCTATCGTCTTTACAATCCGATTCATTGCCTTTCACAATGGAAGCCTTTAGGTCCTCTAATTTCTTTTCGGACTCTTTAACCTTATGCTCTAAATACGTAAAGATTTTCTTATTAGAAGCAAGTTTCTTGAAGGCTTCAACTGCTTCATTATGTAGGGCATGAAATGCGGCTAGTAATTCTGAATGCGACATATTTGAGGATTTATCATATTTAGAGTGACGTACCTGTTTTTTCTTATTTTTTTGATTGGCGGAGAGGCATAGATTCACGGACTCTTCTTCATCACTAGAACTTTCATCAGAGGAGGAAGAGTCGCTGTCACTTGCCCATGCTATATACGCTCTCCTAGGCTTTGATGATTTCTTGTGTGATTTTGATGATTCCTTGTCCTTTCCCTTTTTATTCATTGGACAGTCCGGTTTGTAGTGACTGGGCTTTCCACACTTGTAGCACGTCCCTCTAGTCTTTTTACCTTTCGAGTCATCATCCTTGGAGTGTCTTGATTGTTTCCGGAAGTTTACCAAGTTCTTCTCAGAATGTTGTATGCCGTTCTTTCTCACGTAACGGTTATACCGTTTAACAAACAACCCCATATCTTCGCTTGTGTCTTCTTCTTCTTCGTCGCTCGAGGAATAATCATTTTTCTCTTTTGCTTGAGACTTCGAGGAGGAAGTCTTGAGAGCTATCAATTTCTTTTCACTCACCTTCGCTTTGTCTTTCTTTTCCATCTTTTCGCGTTGGTCTAAGCTCAAGAGTACCTGTTCATGCTCTTGTAATTTGCCAAACAATGTTGTTAAATCTAATAAGGTAAGATCATGTGCTTCTTTGATGGCGGTCACTTTAGGCTGCCATTCCCTGTTTAAACATCTTAAAATCTTATTAGTAGCAACATCATTGGAAACAGGCCTACCTAATGAATGTAAAGGATTGATGAGATGTGTAAATCTCTTTTGCATGTCAGCAATGGTTTCCCCTTGCTCCATGAAAAAGAGATCGAACTCTTGAGTTAATGTATTGATTCTAGCCAACTTAACATCGTTTGTCCCCTCATGGGCTATTTGTAGTGAATCCCACATGGCCTTAGCAGTAGGACAATGGGATACACGATAGTATTCATCTACACCTAATGAGGAGATTAAGATGTTTTTATCTTTCCAATCATAATTGTATTTTTTCTCATCGTCATCGGTCCATTGTGCTTCAGGCTTTGGCACAACTACATTATCCGCATTGGTCATAGTAATTTCTATTGGACCATTAAGGATAACGTTCCATATTTTTCTGTCTATGGAGTTTATATGCACACGCATACAGTCTTTCCAATAACTATAATTTTCACCGTTGAAAACAGGAGCCCTATTATACGCCCCTTTAGGTTCGTTTGCCATTTTCTATCTCGTTGTATTTGAAGCACCGAATAACCGGAGCTCTGGATACCACTTGTTAGACTATGGCACGGATCTAGAAGGGGGGGTTGAATAGATCCCCAATTAAAATTTGAGTCGGCGCTACCAATTTTAAATTGGTTTTAAAAATGTTTTAAGTGCGGAAGCGGCCAAGGAAAAATATAGTCTAAAACGAACGATTATTGGAAAACTGGATATGCGTAAGCCTATGGATTTATGACAATTCGGAAAAATAGAATCACAACACAAACTATGCTTATCAATTATTTACTTCAATTGCAAGGTTACCTAGTTCCAATGATCCAAAATTAAACCAAAACAAGATACACAAGTAAGGTAATTTTGGTTCAAGCAATATGTCAAACACTTGGTGTGCAAAGACACTCCAAGTGATGTTTATGTTGAGTAAGTGATTTCAATCAGCCTAGTACAACGTTTTGTTGTACGTTAGAGTTTAAAACAATGTTTTAATCTCTTACTCAATTTATATCACAGTTTTGACACAAGAGCTTACACAAAAATTACTTAGTTGAGCGGTAACGAAAATACTGAAAATAAAGAAGACAAGTAATTTGGTGAGGCAGTTCCCCCGTCGTCCTCGCTTCGGGGTACGTCTGCCCTCAATTCTAAAACTAGAATTGAGATATATTGAATAGATATCACCTGTTTGAATGAACAGTTTATACAAGGATTGAGCAGCAAAATTACAACAAAAATCTCAATGTGTTGAAAGTTGCCTTCACTCCTTGCCCCTTGATTCAAGCTGAATCAAGTTCTTCGATTTGTGTTGATGGACCTCCGACTCCAGCCACCTTATTAAAGAACACGTTGTTGTTCAAACCTTTGGCTCCGGCTGATCCCAACAGCACCCAATCGAACCCGAGACCTTCCCTTCAAAGTCACCGAATCAGCTACTAGACTTGTGAAGACCACCTCTTCACAATCACCTTCGCTCGATTGATAGTTGATGAAGAATCTCGTCCAAAAACCCCCAAAATCAGAACCAATCTTGGAGGGCAAAACCCCACTGGTTTTATTCAAGAAAGAACCTGTCGCAATCTTCAACCCGAGCTTGATTCTCCAATCTAAGCCTCAAACCTTATCGTCTTGAATCTCTCACAAATGCATTTCAAAAATGATTGTGTGTAATTGAAATGTTGTGAGAGGTTGAAGATGAAGATGATGAATCTTGGACACCTATTTCACTCTTTCTTGTTTTTGAACACATGAATCAAAAGAATATCAAATGTTGTTAGACACAAGTGTTTAAGCATGTATATATAGAGCCCACAAAATTCAGAACACAACAGTATTTCAAATATGAGAGGGAACAAAGTTAAAAACAGTTTTTCCGCGCGAGCGGTCGACCATAACAGGTCTATGCGTCGACGCATGGCCTGTGATGTTTTGAATTTCTAGAAATTTCATCAGTATGCGTCGACCATACAGTCGGCGTGCGCTGACCCGTTGGAATTCTTTTCCTTTGTGCGCCGACCCTATGGTCGACCAAAGCTTTCATGCGTTGACCCGCTGGAAAATTATCCTTTCATGCGCTGACCCAATGGTCGACGCATGTTTTGTGCGCTGACAGTCCTTCCCTTGTTTTTGATGGATACGTCGACCCTTTGGTCGACCCATGTCCTGTAATCCTGCAAAATATTGTTAGTTTGAGGTTTCTCATGCCTTTAGTCATGATTGCAGTTTGTCAACTCAATGTATATTTCTTTAAGACACATTAAGATAAGAAAAAGGATAATATGCTGAGAGATATGTTGCATCTGGTTAGTGAATCTAGAACTCGTACTTTCCAGTCTATTCTGGGAATTTGTCATCATCGAAACCTGCATTTACCAATGTCTTGCAGCTATGTGTGATATGTGGCGACTTGCCTCCACAGATAAGTTCAAATAAACAAATCAAAACAGGACCATAGTAATGTCATAAATCATCTGCATCCTTTGTAAACTCTCCAGTAGCACGTTTGAGATCATCCTGAACCTCATCTTCCAGCTCAAGTTTGCTCATGCCCTGAAGAAATTGAACATTTGAAGAAAAACCAGATGAGCAGGTGTACCGAGCACATAACTGAATCAGAAATCATTAACAGAAACTACCACCAACAGAAAGAACACCCAACTCAATAGACTATTTGACAATGATTCAACGAAACAATGATTCAACTATACCATACTAACAACAAAACAAAACAAAACAAAAGAGAGAAAATAAACACAACCATCATACCTTTCTGCTCTTTAAATGGTAGAAATCAATAAGGTCATGAGGTTGTGCATTATAAATTTGAGCCTTTGCTTTAATCTCCCCTGTCTCACGGCGCTGCTTATCAGTAAGCATTTTCACAAAGCTCTGCCTGCAAGATTGCAGCCATATCTTCCTTATCTCATCACCAGTATTGCATAGCAATCTCATGCAAAGGACAATCCTGTCATGAGAATCATTATCAATTGGATGTGGAAGAACTGAAGACTGGCCAAGCTGCAGCATTGAGACTGTGATCAACAAAGTCTCTGAAGTTTCCTTGTTAACTTCAACTTTTGATTTGAAGAAAAACTAGATGAGTAGGTGTACCAACATTATCCACAGACAGTTGATTCATTTGAGTTTATCTACTGAAAAATGTATGGTGACATTGTTTGATAGAAATTTCGAAATGGAAGTAACTCATGATTCGAAATGGAAACTCATGATTCGAAATGGAAACTCACCGAAACCGCCAGAAATTTCAGAACTGGAACACAATCTGAAACTTAGCTAAGCCGCAAACCATGAACTGCGTGGGTGAGCATCGTTAACGCGTTTGTAGCGGAACTCAGGATGCCGACTATTAGAATAGGCGGTACTCTTCAAATCCTTTCTTGATGCATGCTGCTAAATTACATTGTAAATACACAGATATTAGCTACCAAGTTGGTTACAAGGAATCATTCAAAACTAAGTTGATATGTTTTGCTTAGAAATGAAAAAATCAGACTTACATCTTTTGAATCTGTCCGTTCAAAGAGAACTACTCGACCACCGCGGTCATCGGTAGCAAGACGATCACCAGACTTGTCAAATTCAATAGCAGAAATTATGTCCGCTGTAGAAACAAAGTTAAAACCATGATTCAACGAATAAAATATGCTAAAGAATAAAATCAATAAGCTCATCACCTTCTGTAAACTTGACGGATCAGGTACCATAAACCCTAAATTTGAACACACGAATAAATCATTTTCCAATAAACAACATGACATTAAAGTCTAGATCCAACTTTAAAATTACACAAAGAAAACAGAGAAATGGGGCGGCGGCGAATTTAGGGTTTATGTTGGAAAATAGAGAAAAGCAGAGAGTGAGAGAAAACGGGAGAGAAAGTGAAATAAAAGGGATAGAATTGACACACATGTGTTTTGAGAATGAGAGGGGTTGAACTGTCTCTTGATGAGAGATTGAGAGAATGAGCGAGAGAGGAAAGGTTTTCTGAAACCCATTGGAGGCCACGTTCATGAAAGAGAATGATAGAGGATAGTTTGTTTGAATTTGAATTTGAACCAAAGGATGATTGACACTTGGCATGTGAATAAAGGTTTGGCTGAGAAATATTTGTGACATTTGTTGATTACGTATTTACTCAATTGTTAGTGTAAATGAAAATAATTGAAAGGGTTTATTGGGAAAGTCATGCAGTTTTATTTTGAATGATTGATAGTAGATTTTATCCTTGAAAATAGAGGTGGCAAAATGAATATGATCTATATTTGCTTTTCCTACATTTTTTCACATACAGATTTTGAATTTTAGATCTGTCTGAATTTTAAACAGATCTTAATTTTAGATCTGTCATAATCTTTTTTTAAAAAAACATCTTGTTTATTTTATTTTAAAAAAAGAAATAAAATTCAATTTTTTTTTTGTATTTTTAATTTTCTAAGTAAAATAACTAATTTTTAAATAAATATTCAAGGAAAAATTAGAAATTTTTTATATTAAAAAAATATATATTTTTCTTAATATTAAAAAAATAATTCTTTTCTCAACTTAATAAATTATTCTCATCAACAACTTCCTTTGTTCTTCCTAGCTTTCTTTTTTCCAAATGCAGATTTCCAATAGTCATTTTCAGCTTTCAAATCTTCTATCCCTCTCTCCCAAAATTTCAAATTAGCTTCTTCAAACTGTTAAAAACAATACACACTCATTCCATTTCTCAATTTTAAAGAAAAATTCAAACATCATAATAACCCCATAATCCAATGGTTAAAAAAAAAGCTAAATTTAAAGCATGATACCAAAAACTACATTGACTCATAATTCAAAACCCAAATCTAACTATCAAAACCCAAACTGAGACAGTAGATGGAATTGGGCACAACTGGAGTCCCACGTTATTTTTTCCATAAATAATTTTAGTGTTTATAAAAGTATCTAATGTCTTCCGGGTAAAAGCTTGTAATTGGGTGCAGTTTTGAAGTGGGTCTAAGTTTAATAATTCTTTTCAAAATTTTAAATAATTAATTTTTAAAATTATTAATTAAAACAATTAATTATTAATTTATTTTATTAAAAAATATTAATTAATTAATTATCATATTCATCAATGATATACCATTAAAATTTTAAATAATAAATTTTTTAAAATGTCAATTAAAACAATTAATTATTAATTTATTCTATAAAAAATATTAATTAATAAATTATCCTAATCATCAATAATATATGTTAAAAATTATTTTTTTTTTATCTCAATTATCATTGTCAGGATTACAAAAGTGGAGGAGAACCATAAAAATTCAAAGACCATTCAAATTAAGGGACTAGAATCGCAGGTTTTGTAAAAGGGAACCAATTGTTTAAAAGGTCCAAACTATAGGCATCAAAAGTGCATTTAATTTTAATTTAATTTATGTTGTATTTGAACATAAAAAATAAATAGACAGTCAAGTCCACCGTCCGCCAACCCGCAACCTTTACAGAGTGAATTATATTTTTATGTTCAATTTCACTAGGCTTGACTGCCCTGCTTTTTTTTTTTTATGCTCTTAAAATTGGACGAGTTGGGGTCGGGCGGACAGACTTTTTCGCCTCCCCTAATCCATGAAATATAAATTTTGATTTTTGATTTACAGTTTAAAATACAAAAATTAAATTTAAACAATTCGATTTTGATCAAAAGATCGTCATTATTTGACAACGTGAATGTGTAATGTTATAATTGCAGAGATACCTAATCCTATTTTATGACCAGCATCAGAACATCATCATCATTTGGTCTTTTCTTATTTAGTTTTTAAAACGTGAATGAGAAAGAAAAGGTGGATTTTTCTTCTTTACTGATTTTTCATTTTATTTTTTACTTCAAAATCAAGTATCTTTTAAGTTAGGTTAGTGGCTCATTTGGAGTTTTGGGTCCATACCAAAAAGCTTTTTTTTTGTGTGTTTTTACACCTCAACTCATTTTGCCCATGCTATTTTTATTTTTATTCATTATATCTCGCTTTAAGTTAATTTTTAAGATAGTTTATTTTTTTCATAAGAAAATTTAAATTAAAAAGGGATAACCCCCATTTATCTTTGATTAATCGGATGCAAGGTGTACACCTTGTTTAAGGTCAATTATTCATCTTTCACTAAAAAAAAATACATTAATTAAAACTTAGATTAAAAGAGGTAATCAGATCTACATCTTCTTTGCTTTCGAGTAATAGACGCATGATCTACACTTTGTTAAAGGTCGATTAGTCTTCCAAAAAAACAACGACAATCAATCAAACAATTTTCTTTCTGTTATGACGCAAACAAATATTTTTTATTTTCGATTAACGAACGATGTGTTATCCGTTCTAATGTGATTTATAAACAATGCTTCATTTCACACATGCGCGACTAGCAAGCAACATTTTTCCGCTCGAAGACGATCAAAATATTTTTCATTAAAATCAACCAACAAACAAACTTTTGCCACCAATAACTACGTATCTTCGAGTTCTCTATTGCACTTGGGGATACATAGGAGTGAGATTCAACGTCTCGTCAAACACTTTAATAAAAACTTTTTTTAAATTTTTTTCTTTTCATTTAAATACTTTTAATAATTAGAAGAAATCAAACATTTCAAGCTAACATTTCTTTCAAAAACTAATTAAGTGGTTCTCATTGGTTACAATGGATGTCGTGAGGGTGTTAATACCTTCCTCGAGCATAATCGATACCCAAACCTAAATTTAGTTGTGATGGCCTTATTTTTGTTCTTCAAATATTTTATCGACGTTTCCTTTTAAAAATAAAACTCCGGTGGCGATTTTATTGTCATTTGGGTGTTCATTCGCTCGGATATTTTTTTATGTCACTGTCATACCCTAAATTTGTCCTACCCTTTTTGTAAATATTTTCACTTTTGGCTTTATTTTCTATTTTATGTTGTCTGTTTGTTTCTTGTTATTTAGACGCATGTCCGCTCGCAATTGGTCGATTTTTTAGAAACTCTTCTTTATGACCCATTAAGGCGTGACACGTGGCATAACAACCTTCTTGTGAATATTTGTTTCTTAATTACTTAAACTTTTTCTTTTAAAAATGTTACTAATAATTTTGTTAATAACTTTTTTTAATTTTTATTTGTAAATCTTAATTTATTCATTTAACTAATGATATTTTGGTATTAATTAGTTAATTAATAGTAATTTAGATTTGATTAGCACTTTTTGTTAATATTCTTTATTTATATTTGTTAACATTTTTAAGTAGTTGTTAATAATTTAAAGTAAAAGGACAGCATTTAAAAAATGCTGAGTGGATCATTTGTGGGAGTGAGCCCACGGTTGGAGGCCCATTGGGAAAAGCTGAAGACCCCACGCGGTATAAGAGGAGAAGTTTGTTCAGATGAAGGGATTCACTGTTCACCATCTTTTCCAATTAAACCCTAGAGGCGCCGCAACCTTTTGAAAACCCTAAATACGCCGTCGGATTCCCCAAATTAAACCCTAAACATCATCATCTTCGTCAAACCTTGAATCGCCGCCCGGAAATCATCCCCTTCCTTTCGATAAACCACCGCCCAAAACCCACCATCAACTTCTTTTGTTCACCGCAATACCACACCCTTCGTCGCAATTTGCTTCCACACCACAGAATGTACTCACTCTGTCGTTCATTTTCCATCATCATCCACAAGATCTGGGTCGATTCTGGAACAAATGAGTTTCTTCAAGTGTGTTCATCAACATGGAAGCAAAAACCCACGTGTTAACAGCTGAGTTCATGTCATCGATTTAGATTTTCTTCTGTCGGTTTTGATTTTGATAAACTTGTTTTCCAATCTATTTGTGTTGTTACTGGTTTTTGTGTGGTTTGTGACTTTTTTTTTACTTAAGGAGATAAATCTGTTATGTTCTTGTTAACATTGTAGAAATGCAGTCATAGCTTGAAGCATCATTGTACGCATAGGCACCGCATCTTTCAGTTTCCGACGATGGCATCAACAACACAACTCCCGTATGGTTTTGATTTGAAGCCAACAACGATTTTGACATCTCAGGCGTGAAACTTAGTGCATCAGTTTGGACTGTCAGCAACTCGAGTTTACCCAATTATCACCCCAATATTGGAACCGACGCGAAGAACAACATGTGGCATTTGCGGTATTTGACGAAAATTCCGCTGCGTAGAAATGAAGACCTGTTCTGTTGGTAGTGATTTCAACAAGAATCAAAGTTTGTAGCTCTGTAACGATTTCATTAGAATGATTGTAACCTTCATCAACCGAGCAGGATTTGTCTTACACAGCATACTGCATTTGCGTGAGTCGTCGTCGGGATTTGCTTTTATTGATTTCGCAGATAGCACGTACTGTTAAGATTGTTTTTCAAATATGGAAGACACAGGGTTTTGTTGCTATGACTTACTCGAGTTCGGTTCTAGACGGTACCTTCTTTTTTCATCACAAACACTAAAACGAGCTTTTGTTTTTTTTCTCTTGGTTAATATTTAAGTTTTTGTTCTGGTTTGTCGCACCTCAGCATGAATATAGTGTTGATTTTGGATTCATAACACTTTGAAAATCATTTTGACAGTTCTGTTATGCATTTTGACAAAGTATGTTGCTTGTGTTTGTTTTTATGAGAGTAAATCAACATGCTACTGTCAGTTTGTATTTAACTTTGAATAATACGGCTGCCATTTCTGTTTCCATTTATGGATTTCG